CTGAAGCACCCTGTCGTCTTCAACCTCCACCTTCACCTCTTCTTTCTTCAGCCCTGGAAGGTCCGCCTTGAACACGTGTGCTTCCGGGGTCTCCTTCCAATCAATTCTGGTGTTCAGGAAAGCTGAATTTTCCCGGGAAAATTCAGGGAATGTGGAAAGTGATGAGGAGGAAGGGAATGGGAAATCCTTGAAGGGGTCCCAGAGATTGAGGGAGAAAGGATCGGAAATGCTGCTTCGTCTGAAGCTTGGGATGATCGACATTGTGAATTGGTTGAAACTCTTGGTCTCTTGGTTTTGTTTGGGATGATGAGAAAGTTTGAGTATCGAATTCGGAATTTGCCGCTTCGCTTCAAAGGTTGGAGAATTGCGGAGGCTTGGTTGCTTATTTGTAAGCAGCCCAAGAACTTTCTAGTGAAAACTGGGCCTTGAAAAACGGTTTTGTGATTTTTTTTTGCTCGAACTTTCTAGAACTGTTGAGAAAGTGGGCCTAATATATTTTATTATGGGCTGACGTGTAGTTTTTCTATTTTCTTTTAATGTTCGGAGCTATCAAAATTACAATAGTGAAATAAAATCTCATCCATCGTCACACCATGTTTGTGAGAGACTTCATACAATATGTGGAATTGCTAACATATCGTTAATATGATAGTGAATAACAATGAAAAAAATTCGGTTTTCATCATTTAAAGGAGAAGTTTATATATGGTTGCTCTATTATTTTTCGTTTTCATAATAACTTGAATGTTTTTGTAAGAAACACTAAAATCATTTAACTCACTTATGCATGATTTTAGATTCATATTCATGGGACAGTGTAATTTTATATGAGAGATTGGAAGAAATTAACAATATCATGTTTAAGTTTGAAGGAGGTTGAAAATATCCAGGGCCGGCCCTGACATTTTGGTGGCCCATGGCCAAAAATTAAATGAGGCCCTTAGTATATATGTTTTATTTTTAATTTGCTCATTCATTTTTCTTTTTATGGCAAAGCCCCATAAAACGATTAAGCCTGAAAAGTACATGATCCATAAACAACCTGCTTAAATAGAATAATTTCATTCAACTAACAACAACAAAAACCAAAAGTACATGATCCATAAACAACCTGCTTAAATAGAATAATTTCATTCAACTAACAACAACAAAAACCAAAAGTACATGATCCATAAACAACCTGCTTAAATAGAATAATTTCATTCAACTAACAACAACAAAAACCAAAAGTACATGATCCATAAACAACCTGCTTAAATAGAATAATTTCATTCAACTAACAACAACAAAAACCAAAAGTACATGATCCATAAACAACCTGCTTAAATAGAATAATTTCATTCAACTAACAACAACAAAAACCAAAAGTACATGATCCATAAACAACCTGCTTAAATAGAATAATTTCATTCAACTAACAACAACAAAAACCAAAAGTACATGATCCATAAACAACCTGCTTAAATAGAATAATTTCATTCAACTAACAACAACAAAAACCAAAAGTACATGATCCATAAACAACCTGCTTAAATAGAATAATTTCATTCAACTAACAACAACAAAAAACCAGAAGTACATGATCCATAAACAACAAAAATCATATTTAACTTCAATTCAACAAAACAAAACAAAAGATCTTAAATGGCTTAGTGGCTCTTCAATAGGGCTTAGTTCTCAAGTGGCTCAATTGTACACAAACAGCAGCTTTGACCTCCACTCTATCATCTACAAATCAAAAAACAAAAGCTGTAACATTAAAAATACAAACAATCACTGAAAAATTCTTGATCTTCTAGCATTTTGAGAAGCAAAATCATCAATAACCTCTTCAAAATCAATATTTTCCAACATATTCTTTTCAATACATAAGATTGCCAATCCATTTAACCTTTCTTGTGACATAGTTGATCGCAAATAAGATTTTATCAATTTCAATTTTGAAAAACTTCTTTCTGCAGATGCCACAGTTACAGGCAGAGTCAATATAATTCTATAAGCAATTGAGACATTTGGAAAACAATCCACAACTTTTACAAACTCAAGAACTTCAATGGCTGTCTTTGTCTCTTTCGGTAAATACATTTGTAACACTTCCAATTCAGAAAACAAATCATCAGCATTAATATCAGATTCATTATCATGTGTTAAAGCAACTTCAAGATTTCTACAACATTCACGCAATCTAATATAATTCATTTGAAATAAATTCTGAGGATCAAACAAAAAACCAAAAATGCCTTCAAATATTTCTAATTGTTCAAATCTACTCCTCAAAGAAGAAATTGCAGCATCAACTACAACAAGAAAATAATTAACCCTAAAAGATTCTTCAGCATATTGAAATATCTCTTTATGGTAATTTTCATCAAATTGTTTTTTTCTTCGACTTTGACGTTTTTCAGGAAATATAGGGTCAATTTCCATCTTTGATGCAATCTCTTTAGCAGAAAGTAGGGCCAATGTGA